TAAATGTAAAATTATATGACCTGATAAACCTAATGGAACAATGTAATTTTTCATACTAATTTAAGCTGAATATGATTGTATGCATTATATTTAAATCCAGTTATATGATATAGAAATTAGCCATAATTACGAAAAATTAATATTGAAAGAACTGTCTTTTTTCGTTATAATCTATCTTTATGAAACTATTGTATGTTGCCCTTTAACTTCATTTATAAGAAATTATTAATATCTAAAATATATAAATACAAATAAATGCTTTACTGATGGTAAATTCAATAAAATACTATTATATTATTATTTTTCCAGTATATCTTAGTTACAAAAACGAATTATCTGCTTAGATTATAGAACAAAATTATTCTTTTTAAACAACAACTTATTAAAAATTTTGTCTATTATCGATAACAATTAATAATTGCCATCAATAATATTATTAGTTTATGTTTTTTCAACAGATGTTTCTTTTAAAATTTTAAAAAACAATAAGAAAGGACAATTTAATCATGAAAGCAATTTTTGCAATTTGGAATCTGATTTCTTTCTTGACAAATATTATGTAAGTCTCTAACTTGACATAAGTTCCTTGCTTATTGTCTCTGCCTTTTCCAATTGGGTTTAAACTTGGCTTTTATTGAGCTAAATTCCTGCATCATATCCAGTCTTAACAAAAATCTTCCAAATTTATAAAATGGCCTTTCAATTATCACACCAATAATACTGAGTTACCTGAGCATTAAACCAGAGGATTAAATCTTTCATCGATTCCTTTGTCTGGGTAGAAATACAGAGAGAGAGAATGTTTTAAGCGAGAGCCTTTGCATTCTCCTTCAATTCTTGATTTCCCCTTAACTTATCCTAGCGCCCCATTCTTTCCTGTCCACAATTAATCTTGTCATTTATTTTGATTTTCAGATGGTTACTTGTAAATTGAAGTCCCTTACCACTTTCATGAAGTTTTTCTCTATTTTGAGTTACACATTACAACCTTCCTTAGCCTCCTAATTTTGGTTACAAGTCATATGTACTCTAAATTAAACATCAACCTTTTCCAGTAAAAGATTAAAATAGATGCAGAAAAGAAATGGGGCAAACAATTATCTTTAATGAACCTTAACTCGAAAATAGACTTTCTCTTTATTGACTCAATCATAAATCTTCAATTTATTCATAAAAATGTACAAAGCAGTAAAATTCATTCTAATAAATGATCCTTTGAATCTGACATCTTAACATCCAAAATTTTGATCTTATTATAGAGAATTAAACAAATTCAGGAACACTGCCCTACAATTATATTTCTTAGTTTTCATTTCCTTGATTAATCTTGCGTAGTGAGGGGAGCAACCTAATTATGAAACAAAAACCATTTTTGGACCTATTTATTTTTATATTAGCATAATTGATTAAAATCTTTTTATACAACGAATTCGATCAATTTAATGAAATGGTTCTAGTCTATAATATGTCTAAATTAACTTCTAGGTGTTATCTTTTGGTACATCTAGCTTAATGGAGCAATCTCATATAGAAAAGAAACAAGTTGGGAATTCATTAGACATCAAACAACAATTCCATAATTTATGCAAAATCCTGCTCACCTGGAAGGTTACCTATAGTCATACAAAATAGCTTTCCTGTTTTAGACAACCTTTAAGCTGCTCCTCTCAAAATTTTACAAATATATTCTGAAGTAAGAACTTTCTAACACACTCAGGTTTATGTATAATTTTATCAGAACTTATTTGCACAAGAGATTGTCTCTTTCTAATCAAAACGAATTCATCTTCAGATGTAGTTAACTTTTCATAATAGACCTTCTTAATTGGTTTTATGTATTTAGAATGCTCAAGTATCTTATTAGAATTAGTATGAGTCCATGGAAACAGGCAACTTACCTATGTTGTGGTATCTATTATTTTGTATTAATTAAAGGAATTTAGAATAGGTTTTTCTTTGGATAATGAATTTCAAGCAGCCTGGTTATGATTTGAAAAATTCATTAAAACCAAGGACATCCTCTCGATCCACATACAGGCCTTTCTACGACAAGATATAGTTTATTATTCTCTATGCATCACTTTCCATATTCCTTTGAGCTTGATTACAAGTGTTGAAATAATAATATTCATTCCCATTCTTTCTTACAGAATTAAAACCCCATACAAAGATCACAATATCAAACTAAAGTCGCTGTAGTATCAGTTCCCACTTCATTTTTGATCATTTCATAAGGTGTATATTCAACACCAAATTAAATTTTTTTTACTTTAACTATGAATCTATTCTAGATTTGAACTAGGAACCTACTTTGGAGGGTTGTTTTTTAATTAGACTCATCTAGGGGTATTCACTATGCACATGGCATCATAAGAGTTTAAAAGTCTTCTTTCGTCTTTGGAATCCTTTCTCTCATCAAGTGCACTATCCAGACAAGAATGATGTTAAATTTCCTCAAAATTTATTTACTTTTTGAGTACCTTAGATGTTACACCTCTGGTGATTGACTTGTTGATTATTATATATTTCATATAATCTAGGTTTCTTTTGGAATAGGAGACCTAATTTAACACCTTATGTTCGTTAATACTAGATCCATCATTGGCCAAATAATACAGTAATTGTAACAGAACTTCTCTTTCATATTGGTTAGTAAACCTCTTGTTTTTCTTTTAGGAAGAAGGAGAAGCTAATGCTATTTTAGATTTCGAATTTCTATTAATCTCATTATATTTTAATAAATTATTTTATATTTGAGAAAGTTAAAAACTGTTCCATCCACAATAAATTAATTTCTAATGTTGAATAAAAATAGAAATGATCAGTTAGTGGGGACGAATCCAAGATAAGTATATGAAATTGGGGATGAAGAAGAGGAAATCATTTGATGTCTAATTAATTTGGGCTTTACATGATATTTTGGTAAAAAGTTGATATTTAGAATTATAAAGTTGTTGAATAAGTTCAAAATTACCTAGATTGAAAAAATAAGAAGAATATG